CAGATCTAGAACAAATATTTGAAAAATTTATATGGAATCAAAAGAGACCCTGAATAGCCTCACAACCTTGAGAAATTAGAACACAGAAGGAAGAATCACAGTGTCTGATATCAAACTATACTACAAGGCCACTATAATCAAAACACTGTGGCATTGGCATAAGAACAGACACACAGATTAATGGAACAGAATAGAGAGCTCAGAAATAAACCCATGTCTCTACGGTCAATTAATATCTGACAAAGAGGACAGGAGCATAGAATGAAGTAAAAATAGCATCTTCAATAAATGGTGTTGGGACAGGTACATACAAAAAAATGAAGTTAGATTACCGACTTATACCGCAGAATAAAATAAAAATGGATAAAAGACTAAAACATAAGCTCTAACACCATGAAAGTCCTAGAGGAGAATATAGGCAGGAAATTTCAGGTATCTCACACAGCAATATTTTTGCTGTTATGTCTCCCAGGGCAAGGGAAATAAAGGAAAAAATAAACAAACGGGACTACATCAAATTTCTTCTCCATGGCTACAGAAAATATCAACAAAATATTTTGGAAAGGGAACTGATTGTAATAGACAACATATTTGGCAATGACACCTCACACAGAAGTCTAATCTTTAAAATATATAAAGAACTCCTGTGACTCAACACCAGGAAGACAAACAATCCAATTAAAAAGATGGGTGAAGAACCTGAAAGACACTCCTCTAAGGAAGATATGCAGAGGGTCTATAGGCATATGAAAGGATGCTCAGCATCACTAGCCATCAGAGAGATGAAAATTAAAACCACAATGAGATACAACCTCACACAGATCAGAATGGCCATCATAAAATCAACAAACAAGTGCTGGTGAGGATGTGGAGAAAAGGGAACCCTAGTGCACTGTTGGTGGGAATGCAGACTGGTGCAGCTACTGTGGAAAACAGTATGGAATTTCCTTAAAAAATCTGTAAATGAACTGCCTTTTAACCCAGCAATTCCACTGCTGGGATTATACTGTAAGAATTCTGAATCACCAATTCAAAAGAACTTATGAACCCCTGTGTTCACAGCAGTGCTATTTATAGTAGCCAACTGCTGGAAACAGTCTAAGTGCACATCAGTGAATGAGTGGATCAAAAAACTGTGGTACATTTACACAATGGAATACTACACAACAAAATAAGGAACTCCTACTTTTTGTGTTAGCATGGATGGAACTGGAGAACATTTTGCTAAGTGAAATAAGCCAGGCAGTGAAGGATAAATACCATATGATTTCACCTATAAGAGGAATCTAATGAACAAAACAAAGTAGAACCAGAGACATGGAAACAAGGAACAGACTGACAGGGACCAGAGGGATGGGAGAATGGGATAAGGGTGGAAAGAGGAGGAAGTGACTAGTTTCAGAACATGTATGAAAGACCCACAGACATGGACAACAAAGTGGGGAATGACTGTAGAGCAGTGGGTGGGCTGGACGGAGGAGAACCAAAGGGGAAAAATTGGGACAACTATAATAGAACATTAAATATTTAATAAAAAGAAAGTGAAAGTTAAAAAAAATTTTAGATACTCTTTCCCTAGTAAATTTTTCAGGGAGGGTTTTTGGGAATAGTATTCTCCGAGTCTTACACATTACTAACAATTGTGTCCTGATTAACAGTTTTGTTGTATATGAAATCCTTATTTCATATTTTCTTTCCTGGTATCTTCACTGTCAAAGTCTAACAATAACCTCGTTTTCTAAGTCATTTCCTCTTTTTCCCCTTAGATGTCCAAAAGCATTAAAAAATTTTCAAGTCCAATAATTTTACCAGAATGAATCTTAATGCTCATTATTCTGGCCTGACATTCTCAGGTATATATAAAAAATTAATATATTTATATGTTTTTCTTCTCTGTCCCAAAAAAATCTCTTTTTAAGTTCTTGATTTTTCATCATTTCAAAATAATATAAGAATTCATAGACATTATTTTATCTTGTATAATTTTCTTGATGTCTTTTAGTTTGCTCTGAAATAATAAGTTATAGTAACTGACTTGTAGGCACATTTTTCTGGCCTGCTTTGTCTTCAGTGATGTTATTATTTTTCTTTCCCCTCCAATAACATTTTATGAGATTTGACCTTCACACTTTTCTGTTGCTTGTTTTTAAATGAATTTAGTCTTCAATTTTTGAACACTAAAGAATGAGGTTTGAATAGTTTTTCTAACTCTAGAGAATGCCCTCTTCTGTTTTTTCTTTTTCCCCCTTTTTTGGTATAGTGTTCAACAGTATGGAAGCCTGCTTTTTGAAACTCCAGGTTCTGTTCCCCTCTACTCTGATCTGGTCCTTCTATTTCCTTTCTTTCTCATGTTCCTACTCTGTTCAGTTTTGATTCACTTCTAGAAGCTCCTCCTCAGTGTGGAGTCTTGTCTTGGAAGGGAAGGAGCTTTACTGAATTTATTTTGAGATCTCCTGCAAGGCAGACTGCTCCAGTCCTTTCAGTTCACCTCAGTGAAGATATATGGTAATAACCTACTATATATGGGAGAGAATGAAACCCTCTCGATTTCAGCTACTATTCTTAAAATGTCTACTGCACTTTCCAGTAAAAAGGTGGTTAGCTATTTCCAGGTTTTCTCTTTCTCAGTGTTGTTAGATGCCAATCCTGTTGCTTTTTCCTTTCAGCACAATGCTGATACCACGTGGGTACAGTTGTTGGTGATTTGTCTCCACAAACTTGCATTTAAAGGTTCATGAGGATATTTGTCATCTAGTTTTATTATAAATACTGAACATGGGTATTTGCTTTTGCCATCTAGTTTACATTATTGTGGGAATTTGGAGATTCAACTAAGTTTTTAAATCTTCACCCAAGGACACTTTCACTTGTGTTTGGAGAAAGAGAGAGAAAGACAGAGAGCGAGCGAGAATGCGAGAGAGAGAGAGAGAGAGAGAGAGAGAGAGAGAAACATCAATGTGAGAGAAGCACTGATCAGTTGCCTCCGTACACACCCAGACTGGGGATCTGCACAGGGACCAGGGATCACATGTGCCTGCCACTGGATCAGGATGAACCCAGCAGGAATCAAACCCAACACCTTTCGGTTACCTGATGATGCTGTAACCATTGAGCAACAGTGTCCAGGGCTCAACTATGCCTTCTGACACCACTGCTATCTTCTCTAAATCCCTAGTATTATTTTTTTTCTATAACATCCATTTTGCTAAAATAATGTAGGGTACAGCTAGATGAAAGTCAGAAGATGTAAGTTCTAGTTTAAAAAGGTGACAAAACATTACTTTTATGTTTCCTATTGATTAAATAAAAGGGATAATCAGATTCACTGTAGAGGTTTAAGGTAGAAACATATAAAATTGCTGTTTTTGTAGTTTAAAATGATTAATGACAATTTTACATGATTCAGTCTAACATATGTGAATATTAATCAAATTCAGATTACTGGATATAGGCAATAGAAAAGGTCAAGTCTAATGATAACATATAACATAGCATAGCTTCATCTTTTCTTCTAATTATAAATTTCTAAAAGCAGTGTCTTTAAAAAAAGATTTATTTACTTTTAGAGAGGGGACAGGAAGAAAAGAGGAAAAGAAACATCAATGTGTGGTTTGCTCTCTTATGCCCCCTACTGGGCACCTGGCCTGCAACCCAGGCATGTGCCCTGACTGGGAATCAAACAGGCGACCCTTTCGTTCACAGGCCAGTGCTCAATCCACTGAGCCACGCCAGCCAGGGGTAAAAGCAGTGTCTTGATTATTTGGTGTTCCTCTAGTTTCCTACCTCCCCAGCTCTTCATGAAGAGATATAGCTCTGCTCATTTTTCTCAGCTATATGTCATCATTTTGCTGACTTTTTCATTTAGACTTGGACTTTAGGGAAGGCCCTCTGCTTCTGAAGATTTAACTACCATATGCATGTGGATGATATAATAATCTTCTTGCCCATCTCTAACATTTAATTAAATTCTATATGGCTTTCTTATAAAACAGATGCGTTTCTCACTCTGATTGGTCACATAGTAAAATGGTCAACTATAAAACTCAAACATCCCCAATACTTTTCCTAAACAAGTTTTTTTGGAGGAACCCTTGGCTCTATACTGTTTTTACCTCAAATTACTTCTAGTGATTGATCTACCTTGTGCTTGCACCTATGTTCATTTTATGAGAGCCATGTACAGTAAACTCTTATACTGATATTAATATTGGCCAAGATAAAGGTGTCTGATATATTAATATGCAACAACATTCCAAATAACTATAGACATTTAAATTTCTGTAGTTGAAGACCAAGTTAAAAATCAGTGGCATTCAGCCCTGGCCAATCGGCTCAGTTGGTTGGAGTATTATCCCGTACACCAAAAGGTTATACGTTTGATCCCCAGGTAGAGCATGTATGGGAGGCAACCGATGAATGTTTTTCACTTTGTCTCCTTTCCTCTCTAAAAAAATCAATAAGGCACATTCTCAGGTGAGGAAAAAAACAGTGGCATTTAAAATATTAATCTTTATAATTGCTACCATAAAGTGCTCAACATCTACTATAATATGAAATAAGAATATCTCTTAATTCTTCCATAATGTATAGCAAAGATATATTGCTTACCGCTAGATGAATGAGAACAAAGCAACACTAAATCAAAACAAATTTTAAAACCTAAAAATTTCTATATTAATATTCTACGATAGACTTTTCTGCATGGGCATTCAAGTGACTTTTTGAAAAAACAAAACGAAAACAAAAACAAAAAACAAAAACACACATAAAACCACCAATACAGTAGATTAAAAAAAAGCCCATTGTAAATCTAAAATTCATTTCATTTCAGGGTTCCCCAGAGAATTCTTCAATAAAGTACAGAAATTACACCAACAAAAGAAATAACATTCTGAAGTAACATATGTGGCTCCATATGTATTTTTATATATAAGTTATTGATTATTGCCTAGTAACTATTATAAATTACTGCAGAAAAATATTCACCACTGGTTTCATACCAACTGTTCTGAAGCCACAAGTTTAAGGAACTTTTTGATGAAGTCAATGAGTCCTTGGATGGTTCGGGTTCGCTCTACAGCCCACTTCTTTGTTTTCATTATAGGGGTGTCTCCCACAGCCTTTAGCAGGATGTCAACTGTAAAAGGAAAAGAAATTGACAATTGCATTGAAACATCTAAAGTGAAATTAAACCTTTAATCTGCACTTAAGTTTATATATTGGGTTGGCCAAGAGGTTCATTTGCTTTTTTTCCCTGGAATGGCTCTAGTACTGTTAGTTGTCTTTAACTTCACTCAAAACAATTTTGTTACATTGCACTGTGACAGCTGTCATAAAAAAAACTTATCAAAACTGGTTAATTTTGGGGGACTTCCGCCAAGATGGAGGCATAGGTGGAAACACTGTGCCTTCTCGCACAACCAAGTTTAAAAACAACAAAGTTTTAGCAACAAAAATGCAGCCAAACAGCAGAAAATTGAACTATATTGAAGTCCAATAACAACGAACCACTCAGCCAGACCTATAAGAGGGGCAGAGCCAGCAGCAGAACGGGACTGGGCAGGAAAGATCCACCAGACTGACCTAGGTGTGCAGACTGCGGAGGACAAATCCCAGGTGTGGAGTAGCAACAGGTGGACCCACTGAGGGCGCAGGGTGGCAAGCTGATCTCGGTCGCACATTTGCATGCAGATAAACCTGGGGGAAGGAGCTAGCGGTGAAACAGATCACGCAGGCCCCAGTGGCAGGAGGCAGCAGAGGGGACCACTACTGTCCCACTCTGACCCCGCCTCCACTTACAGCGTCACAAACCAGCGACCTAGGTGGCCCTGCCCAGGTGAACACTTAAGGCTCCTCTCCTCATACGTAACAGGTGCGAACAGATCAAAACATGGCTCAAGAAGAACTCAGAGCCCCAGAGCCCATAAATCTAAGTGAACAAAAAATTGCCAACCTATCAGATGCACAGTTCAAAACACTGGTGATCAGGATGCTCACAGATCTGGTTGATTTTAGCCACAAATTAGAGGAACATATGAAGGCTAAACTAATTGAAATGAAGGGAAATGCACAAGAAACCGACAGTGATAGAAAGGAAACTGGGACTTAAATCAAGGGAGTGGACCAGAAGGAAGAAAAAAATGACCAAACAGAAAAACATGAAGAAACAAGAATTCAAAAAAAATGAGGAGAGGCTATGGAACCTCCAGGACATCTTTAAACGCTCCAACATCCGAATTATAGGGGTACCAGAAGGGGAAGAGGAACAGCCACAAGTGGGAAACTTATTTTAACAAATAATAAAAGAGAACTTCCCCAATCTGGCAAAGGCAATAGACTTCCGGGAAATCCAGGAAGCACAGAGAGTCCCAAAGAAGTTGGGTTCAAGAAGGAACACACCAAGGCACATCATCATTACATTAGCCAAGATTAAAATGAGAGAGAGAATTCTAGAAGCAGCGAGAGATAAGGGGAGAGTCACCTACAAAGGAGTTCCCATCAGACTGTCAGCTGATTTCTCAAAAGAGACCCTACAGGCAAGAAGGGGCTGGAAAGAAGTATTCCAAGTCATGAAATCCAAAGATCTACAACCAAGATTACTCTATCCAGCAAAACTTTCCTTTAGAATGGAAGGACAGATAAAGTGCTTCTCAGATAAGGTCAAGTTCAAGGAGTTCATCATCACCAAGCCCTTATTATACAAAATGCTATAGGGACTTATCTAAGAAAAGGATGATAAAAAATATGAACAGTAAATGACAACTCACAACTAAACCTAAAAGAAAGACAAAATCAAAAGCTAAGCAAGCACACAACTAGAACAGGATCAGATTCACAGAAATGGAGATCACATGGAGGATTATCAGCAGGGAGGGATGAGAATGGGGGAGAAGGTACAGGGAAGAAGAAGCATAAATGGTAGGCAAAAAACAGATAGGGGGAAGTTAAGGATAGTATAGGAAATGGAGAAGCCAAAATGGGACAACTGTAATAGCAGAATCAATAAAACATATGTAGAAAGATAAAAACACAACTGAATTGCAAAAAAAAAAAATTGTGCTGTTATGGAGAAGGTGCTGTGACTGATTGAACATGTCAAAAATGATTTGTGAAGTTTCTTGGTACTACTGATATTTTGGCCAATTCTTTGCTGTGGGGCTGTCTCGTGCATTGGAAGATGTTTAGCAGCACCCCTGGCCTCTACATTAGAAGGTAACAGTGGGAGATAGCCAGCATACTAAAAATATCCAAATCAATTAAGTTATTGGTGAAAATGAAAAACATGTCCTTTATTTTAGGGAAAAAACTAAAAGGACCTTTTGGCCAACCCAACATTTATGATACTGGAGGTATGTCTAAGATATACAAGTATTAGGTAAGATTCTTTTTTGTTGTGTTTTTGTTTTTTTCCTCCTTGATTCTACAATCCCACAAAGGTCTCCCCATGCAAATAATCTTTCAGTGTAATTTTAAGAATTCTGGAAAAAAAGGAACATAAATGGTCAATAAACATATAAAATATATAGAGTCATGGCCCTTTTCACCTATTGAATTAGTGAAGATTAGAATAATACTGTATGTGACACAACTGTTGGGGATACAAAATGGTATACCATTTTTTGAGAACAATATGATAATATATTAAATGAGGAATATACACTGACTCAATACTACTACTAATAATAATTCTAGGAATCTAGATTAATAAAATATGAGATGTAAAGAGGTTCACTTAGAAGGACTTCACCTTTGTTGAAACATTTATTTTTATAGGGAAAAAAACTGGTAAACCTAAATATCCAATAATACATATATACGTGTGTGTATACATATCTGTGTATACACATATACATACACATACATACATACATATATATGTATATATATATGGGGGGAGAGACACACACACAGAGGTAAAGATAAGGATAGATATTTTTTTTAGAGGGAAGAAGGGAGGGAGGGAGCTTGAGAGAGAAACATTCATTGTTCCACTTATTTACCCATTCATGGTTGATTCTTGTATGTGCCCTGACAGAGGATTGAACCTGCAACCTTGGTATATGGGGTGATGCTCTAATCAACTGAGCCACCCAGCCACGGTTTGCCAACAAGGATACTTAGACAGCATTAGTTAAATAAAGGATATTATAGTCTATGATAGAATTTATATAATTCAGTAAAGAACACACACTCTAAAATCTCTGGTTTCAAAATCCTAGCTCTGTCACTTGCTAGGGATATAAACTCTTTAGTCTTTCTGTGCCAGAGTTTCTCCACTTGTAAAATTAAGATGATAGCACCTATCTCATAAGGTTGTTTTGAGGATTAAGTGAATTAATATACATAAAGTGTTTAGAACAGTATCAGCTCACAACTCATACTCACTGAACCTTTAGGTTAGAAGGTGCCATTAAAGAACACATATTACAAAAACATATTTAACACTAAGAAAAAGTTATCAAAATGTACTAAGTATAAACCAGTACGTATAATAAAGCCTCAATTTCATTAAAACCATCACAAACACAAATTCATATGAATGGGGAATATGCACCAAAATGCTACTTCTCAGTAATGACAATATAGGTAATTATTTTGTTTTATTTGTGCTTGTTGCAAACACCAAATTTCCTAAAAAACACCTTAACACAATAATTATTAGAAAGAAAATACAACTAGGAGCCAAAAAGTTTCAGTTAGAGAAATTAAAGGTTTCAATAATCCAAAATACAAACCCAAACTATGAATCTGTCTCCTGAACGTACTATGCTTTTAAAAAAGAAAAGGGAGGTGGTGAACAAATAATACAATATACAGATGATGTATTACAGAATTGTACACTTGAAACCTATATAATTTTATTAAACAATGTCACCCCAGTAAATTCAATAAAAAGGAAAAAGTCTATCTACACTCAAAAGCAACACTGAAAGCAAAATAGTGTATTGCTGCCCCCTAAAGTTAATTCTGTTCTAATACATCCCTCTAGTCCCATTCAGTAGTATTAAAAAACTGGGACCTAAGGGAGTCAGAGATAAATATATTCAAGTTTACCCCTTATAATGAAGGCACTTAGAGCACAAAATACACACAGTATTTTTCCCTGCTAAATTTTGTATTCCTTTTTCTGCTTAAAAATTCTAGCTTCAGTTATTTAGAGAAGAGGAATAAATTGGAAGATAAATGAAGGAATTTTGAATAACTCACTTCCATACTCCCTCAATCCCCTGAGGCTACCAACAACTCAGATGCAACTGGGCATTTCAAGAAAGTGAAGCAGAAAATACTGTGAATTTTACTATTGAATGAAAAAAAATTTAAGGGCAAGGAGCTAAAGGAGGACACATTTATTTTAATTATAACTTTTTTTAACTCTAAAGGTGATTTGCTTGTAGTTCTCAACTCTAGTAAGCACTGGAATCAACTGAGGTAACAATTTAATTTACAAGAATACAGGTGTCCACATGACTTAAATTAGAGTATGTTTAAAGCAGGGTCTTGGGCATAGGTATGTTCAAAAGCTCTCCCAGGTGATCCTAATGTGAAGCCAAGACCAAGAACCTCGTTTTGTTTTAATTTTTGTTCCATAGATTAAACCAGATGTGGAGCATATGAATGCATTGGCTAAGCTCCTTTCATCAGAAGGCATCCTCAAAAAAGGATGACACTTTCAGGGTAGAAATTCAATAGCTAGAAACTAGAAACTTAGTTTCTACCAAGGAAACTAAATAAACTTGAGAGAGGCAAACACAAAGCTCATGGAAGTCAGAAAAAGAGCCATTTTTTAAATGATGGTGTATATACACAAACACACATACAGACACACATACATACACTGTGCAAACCAAAGAAAACATGCTATATAACCTCAAGCCATATCCCAGTTACAGGTCATTATTTTTTAGCCAGTTTTAGAATGCTATCTTCAGCATTAAGTAGGAAACTCTTGACTAAGACTGTCAGAGATGAAAACAAGCCATCTGAAAGTACGTTACTGCTCACAGCAAAATGGAAAAAAAAAAGCGGGGTGGGGGGAATAAAATCTATAAAACTCATGGAATTCTTCTGAAGAAAGACTGTAGTGGTTATCTATAAAAAGAATCAAGGGCTTGTTTCTCTAGTAATGCATCATTTGGAAATGATAGATCAGATTTCCCCCAAATGTAGAAGCAGTGTAACTTTAAAGGGGGACAGTGCTGAGAGAGACAACTATCCTTCATGGCAGAAGAAACTGAATTCTGAGGAGAGGCCTTGAGATCACTAAGCAGAAAATATGCCAATATCTACACTAAGACTCTGGACTGAGAAAACTTGTCTGAGTCCCAGGGTCAACCTCTGAATTATAGGTGTTGATTTGCTGATTTTCTCATAAGCAACTGTACACAAAGCACCCCAGAACAAGTAAATTTAGGAATTTCTGTATTTTACAATGGCAAACTAATTCTCAAGCAATACAGGGTTGATGACTGCTAGTTCAAGCAATGAAATGATTCACAAAGGCTCCAAAAATTTTTGTTTTTAAAGGCGATTCCTATGCCACTAGTTTTCCCTTAGCATTTCTTCATTCTGGGCAAAATTTCAGTTTTTTGGTTCAAGAAGTGAATTCACACGCAATTTGTATAAAAAACTGCAACTAGTAGGAAGGCGGGGATTCTAATCCACACGTGCCACCCACCATCCCTATGATCTTAAATCATTATTCTAATAATTAGGTATCGTGTAAAGTACCTAGAGCTACCGAGATCCCACTCAGTTCGACGTCCGGCCAACTGCAAGTTAGAGTGCAGTGTCGTAAATACTGTGGCAAGTTAATTTAAGTACTGGACACCACACTGCCAAGGTACCTCCAGTAACGGCTTTAAGAGGGACGATATTCAAAAGTCTTCAAAGCCGAAAAGTACGTTTCCTCTATCCTGACTGGTCAAAAACCACGTCTGGGACGTGCTCTCTAAATTTTGCTTCTTTACTGGCCGCCATCCCTACCGTGAAGCCATCTAAACCTTCCACCTCTGCCCAGAAAGAAACTACTTTCAAAATTACTTTTTTTCTTGGTGTCGCCGGCAGGTTCCTCTGTACCCGGGGAGACTGCAGCGGAAGAAGGAGGCTCCGGAGTGGCTGTTCCTGGGGAGACGTCCGCAGCTCCTTCGCTGTCAGCTGCGCCTGAGGGAGGGAGCTGCAGCACAGTCTCCGACTCCTCAGCCATTTTGTTCCGCGGGAGTCGAGAGCGGAAGTGGGGAGTCAGCGAGTGCAGTGGGCGGGCTTTGCGACCCGGAGTGTGGAAAAGCGAGCACCAAAGTGAGGGGACCCAACCCAGCAGCGACAGCTGGGGGAGTCGGCTGGTCCTCTATGTCGATCCTGCGGCAGATCCCTAACCCTTAATACAGTGACTACTGTTTTCCCACAGCAACACAGCTCGGGAAAGAGAAGGTGGCTTGCATCGCCCTGGACCACTCAGCTCGCAGGTGACCCTCTGGCAAAAGGGTAACAGCCTGGAGTGTTTCCGCTTCCCTCCAAGCCAGCCCCGCTCTGGCCCCGCCTGGGCCCCGCCCCTCCAAGTCCCCGCCCCACGACTCGGGGGCGCGCGCGCGTGCCGGAGGGGGCGGGTGGGGAAGGATCAGCGGCGAGATCCCGAGGCTGGGATAGCGCACCCGCCCCCGTCCTGGCCTCCAGAGCCCACCTGATCCGCCCGGCTTAGCCATGATTAAGGCGATCCTCATCTTCAACAACCACGGGAAGCCGAGGCTGTCCAAGTTCTACCAGCCTTACGTGAGTATCCCGCCGCCGCCGAAATGGGCGAGCGGGAGTCGTTGGCAGCTGGCAGCGCCCTCAGTGCGACTCCCTCAGGCGGCCGCGGCCCTTCTCGCGCCCTGGCAGCCTTGCCTTGCGGGGCTGTCAGCCTCCGGGTGGGTGTGAGCGAGGTGCCAACCACCCTTTGCGCTCCCTGTCCTCCGACGTGGCTTTGCTTAGGCGGCTCCTCCACCAGTCTGTTGCCTGGATGGTTTCCCGGCTGCGCGGTCGAGGCCCTGGAGACTTTCCGGTGCGGGGCCCTCCCGGGCGGGCAGCCTCAGCCCACCTGCGCCCGCTAGCCCACGAGCGCTCTCGCCTTCCTGACACCGCCGACTTCTGTTAGCTTTTGAGAAAGACAGCGGAGCTAGTTGGTCTCGTAGCCCCACCTTTCTGACTCCCAGCCTTTCTTGGTGGACTTCTTTCTCTTCTATGGACAGATGGGCTACTGTTGTTCACTGTAATCCTCTCACTGAGCAGGAACTTCAGCTTCCTGCCTTTTGATATTTGCACGCTTTGTATAGTCTCTTGTATGTTGTGATACGGGATCGACTGCGCTGTTTGACTTCACGTGTCTCCTTGTTAAAGAAAAAGATAAGTGAGGAGCTTACATTTTTATTGGACTTTTTCCTTAGTGGCTGTAAATTATTTCCTCCTGTTATAACTGGCGACTTTTGTAGTTGACCAGCTATAACTGTGATTCTATACTTAAAAGTTATGATTTGGCATCTTTCTACGTAAGGGAATTTGTCCTAATTTATAGTTTTTTTCTATGTATGAAGAATAGTAATATTTGTAAAATTATTTTAGAGGTGTAAATGTTGTTTAAAAATGCAGGAGATCTTAAGGTGGTAAAGATAAGTAATTTGGTAATGGTTAATGGAGAATTATGTGCCCATCTGAGGCCAAATTCTCCATTAGGTAAAACACTTAAAAGTTGGGCTATCATCAGTAGGGTTAATTTAGAGATATAACTATTGCATAGTGATTGGGACATTTGCTTACAGTCAGAAATGAACTTTCAATTAAATATTTAAATTGTGCCAAGGCTAATGCTTTTATGCAAATTAATCCTAGATCGAAATCATTCCTGCCATTAGAAATTAAATGTGAAGATGTCATTTTGCCTAAAATGATAATTCAGTCTGTGAAGGTGTTAGTTGAAGTGAGAAATCTTGAGCTTATTCCTCGTTTCCTTAAGTAGTTTTGGTTTTGCTAGTGATAAAGAATATTTTCTACTACTATTTGGCTTGAGTATAATGTAATTTAAATGCTAATTCTTTATTTAAGAGTTCTACATACATTCATTAATCCAGGACAGAATTCTAGTTGATCCTTCTGGATGAAAAAAAAATGCCTCTCACTTTACATTGTTACCCATTTATTTAAAATATAGTACTAGCCTTTATTGAGGGAGCTTTCTCTTAACCATTTTGCTTGTGTCATCCATTTGCAATACAGAAAAGTATGGTCTGATAATGAAACAATTAAAAAATTTGCTTTTCCATGTCTACACTCAATAATTAGGCAATATTAAAAATAGGTTTCTTGCCTAATCCATAATATCAGTGTAACCATTCCTGTAGTTTAGAATTTAACCATCTACAGAAAAATGAGTGTAATCTGGGAATCCAGGAATCTTTCTCTTGTTTAACAATGGAGCAGAATATGTTTTACCTTTACTCAGTAGGTAGCAGTGAAGGTTAATGTGGAAAGAGGCAGTTCTAGCAGCAGGGGCAGCTCTGGTGTCATTTTTGGCCTTTGCATAAGTGACATTGTTACTGGGGGCAGGAGGCTAAGAGGTATATAAAGACAAATCTAGTGGTCACTGGTCATGTAGAAGTAGGGATGCCAGAAGCTGTTTTTATGTAATTAGTTTTATAAACTGGGTTTTGCCAATTGTATTTTTGTCATTCAGGAATAATGTAAGGTTATTTCTTTTGTTTATATATTTGCTTCCTTTACCAGACCATAAGCTGTTTGGGGCAGAAATCTCTTTTCACTCATTTATTTCAGTCAGTTTGTCAACAAATATTTATTTCATGCCTACCAGGTTCAGGCAGTGTTTTAAAATCTGGGGATAAGTCTTGGCTGGTGTGACTCAGGGAACTGAGCATTGGCCTGGGGACTGAAAGGTCACCAGCTCGATTCCCAGTCAGAGCACATCCCTGGGTTTCAAGCCAGGTCCCCAGTTGGGGGCCTATTAGAGGCAACCTGTCAATGTATCACTTATTGATATTTCTCTCCTCTTTCTCCTTCCCTTCCCCTCTCTCTAAAAATAAATAAATAAAATCTTTTTGGGGGGCATAAACACATTTATTTACTAACCAAAGGGTTGGTCTTAATTAAACTAATGCTTGGACATAGTTGCATGTAAAATGTTTGTGATGAAGATAACAGAACAGTAATGGGGAAAAAAGCATGCAGAGATTTGCACATTGAACTGAGCTTGTTTATCCCCCCAGCTAATTCTTGTCCAGAAGGATGATGGAATTTTCACTCAACTTTTTCATAGATCCAAATATAGATAACATAGTTCATGACACATTCCACCACTATTTTCCCACCTCCCAGTTTTCTTGTGATTGTTTTCCTTCCCATCCCACTCCTGATGTTGAACAAATGCACCATCTATGAAGCTGCAGATGGTCTGAGTTTTTCTGCTATCAGTTGTAGTTTCTTCAAACTTTTCTCCCAGGTTACATGAGAACTGTGTCGTTTTCAATGTGCTCTCAGTTTTTACGGTGAAGTTTTTGCCATCAAAAGTAATGGTACAGTCTGGTTTGGCCATGACACCCATTTTCCACAGAGCCATTCCCACATCTAGTTCTTTCATGTACTCATCGAAACCTTTGCTCTCCACTAAGTGCCATTTTCCTACCAGTCACTGAATGGTGGCCATGGTAGGCACGGGAGCTGTGCAGGCAACCAGAAAAGAGTATTGTGCTAGGAGCTTGGCCAAATACAGTCTTTAAATAAATAAAATCTGAAGGTGAACAAACATAACTTCTATTTTTTTCAGTGGGGAGGGAACACAAAGCTAATAAGTATAATAGAATATGTAGTGTGTCAGGTAGTTATAAGTACTGTGGGAAAAAAGCAGGGGAGTGTGATGGAGTGCAAGGATGATAATTTAAAATAATATAGGCAGGTAAATTCTCACTGAGAAGGTGGCATTTCATCAAAGACTTGCAGGAGGTGGGAAGGCCCACCTAGCAGATATCTGGGGGCAGGTCAGTCCAAGCAGAGGAAGCAGGAAATGCAATGCCCCTGAGGTGGCAATGCCTGTTTGAAGAACTTGCCCTAAATGTTAAGGAACACCAAGAAAATTGGCATGGCAAGAGCAGAATATGTAAGGGAAGAGCAGTTGGAACTGGGATGTATTTGTACAGGGCACAGGTGGCAAACATAAGGCCCGCAGGCCAAATTCGACCCTCAACCTCATTTTATCAGGCTTGGCACCTTGTTACTACCCGGCAGCAGCACTGAGCTCTCACCTAACTGTGAAGGAGTAGTTACATTTATACAGTCCTCAAATTATATTTGGCCCTTTGAAGGCAGCCTCGAGGCTGATGTGGCCCCTAGTGAAAATGAGTTTGACACCTCTGGTAAAGGGCATTTGAGTTTATTCTCATTGCTTGAAATGTCCTTTCCTTCCATTGCCAAATATTTAAATTCCACCCCTAGTTCCAGGCCTAACTCAGACATCACTTAACCATTCCCTGAAGCCTTTTATCTTGCTGAAAGACTCCTCTTGGTTCTTAGGATTTTACCTTTATCTGTATTAGAGTATAATATTCTGTTTCACAGTGTATAATTCCTTTGGGGCATTCTATAGATTCCTTGAAGTAAGGTATCAGGTTTAAGATTTATTTGTGTCACCACCAGCAATCAAATTGAGTCTTGAATATAGAGAACTCTCAATAAATCTGTGCTAATGTATTTGTTAGAGTCTCCTAGCTTGCGATAAAGTTTGGATTATAAGTGACCTTCTAAGTTTCCTTCCAATTCTTAAGATTTAGTCCTTCATTGACAGTAGGTTTTCAGAATCCATGCCTTTAGGATAAATGTAATGATAGAATAGCCATTACTTCAACTGTTTCTATTTTAAATTGAAAGAAATCTCTTAACTATATATTCAGTAAGATTGACACTTTTGAGTTTAATTTATTAAGCAGTATTTAGAGATGTTGTTGGGTTAAATGTAATAATGGTTTAACACTAAGCAGTTTGAAAAATGCTTAAACATTAGCCAGCCAGCTTCCCCTCCTGCATTGGTTTTTGGTTCATTATTTCAGTGTTACCCTTTTATAGTGCAGATTTCCATTTCCTGCTGTAATTAAGTTTTAGATTTGATTGTGTCTCCAAGCTGCTATTATGTGTGAGGCACATGAAGTCACCACATATTTGGCTAAACTGAAGTTTTTGGTTCATTCTGCTAGAATTTGACATTAAGAATTCAAGAGTAGACTCAGAATAATACATTCTCTTTTGTTTTTGCCTTCTATATCCTTGAACTATGTCTGCATAAGTTCAGATGTTTTTCTTGGTTTGTCTCTTTAAATTAAAGCTTGGCCACAGTGACTTGGCAGCAGTAAACTTTAGTCTTTTAATATTTGCCTGGCAATAGTTGTGTATTACTATAAATAACTAATAAAACTAATATTTCTTAAACCAGATATATTCTTACCTAGTCATCAAACAAGAAAAAAAACCTTGGGTTATGATTTCTGTGTTATTAATGAACCATGATATATCCTTTGGTGAATCACTTTAATGAAGTAAAAAGTGTTTCTCTTTTATATGAATTATCTGTTTCCACTGATTTAAAAGATTGTATATGTATACTTGTGGGAGCGTTCACACACACATATACAAACAGGGAAGTTTTCAAACTGTTACATATAGGACTCAATTTTCTTATACTTATAAACTGTATCCAGTTATTTGTCAATGAAATGAAAATCCTAGAAGAAACTCTA